TGTTAAAATTCCAATCACTGGCAAATTGCCGCATTAACAAACCACCAAAAGGAATGTTGTCGCAGGTCAACTCATCTGGGGACCCAAACCTAGCAAAAATTGATTTTAATTTAAGGATTACTTCACTAGCTGATTTATTTCTAATCAACATGATTTCCAGCCAGTTTGAATAGGCATCTATGACTACTAGATAAATTTTGTCAGCATACGAAAAAATATCAGCACCAATTCTTTGCCAAGGTCTTTCAGGTAATTTGTACGGTAATAAGGTTTCTTTGGAATTTTTTCTTGCATATTTTTCACACACAGTACATTTTTTTATAAAGTTCTTAATATCTTGACTCATTAAAGGCCAGTAAAATATCTGCCTAGCTCTTAATTTAGTTTTATCCATGCCTATATGGCCTTCATGAAGTTTGTTAAGCATAAATGATTGCAAATTTTTAGGAACTACCAATTTATTTTCAAAAAATAAAAGATCATCACAAACTAAAAGTGAATCTTTGAGCCTAAAAAATTGGCGAAGGTGAAAAGGAATTTTCTTTTTATCCGGCCAACCATAATTAATGAATTTAATTATTGTGCTTAAATCTAAATCATTACTGGCGGCTTGTTTCAATTGTATTTTATTTTCATCTGAGATAGGCAAATAATTTACTAAAGAGTGAATAGCATACTCCAATTCACTTTCATCACCATCAGGTGTTGATAAATATGCTCTAGATAGCGTATCTGCAATGTATAAATATTTTCCAGGTTTATATGTCACAGTACAAATCATATTTCATTAATCTTAAACGTAAACGTTGCAATCTTGGTGTTATATTATACAAATCTTTTTTAAAAATGGGAACAAGAGGTTTATGATCAGTGGTAATCATGACATTTTTAACACCATAAATTAAGTAATGAAATTTAGAGCAAGCAAAATAAATTGCTAGCATTTCCTTCTCAATCTGAGCATACTTAATTTCACTTTTTGACAAGCTCCGAGAAGAAAATGCTATTGGATGGCCATTCTGTAGAAGACATGCTCCTAAACCATCTTTGGAGGCATCAGTTTCAATAGCAACATCAGTGGATGGATCAAAAAACGAGAGAACAGGGGCATGCGATAATAAATGCTTTAGTTGATCTAATGAACTTTCATGTTCTTTAGTCCATGACCAGTCAACATCCAATCGTGTCAACTGCCGCAAAAGGGCTGATATTTTCGACAAGTTTGGGACAAATTTAGCAAGATATTTTGCCATGCCAAGCAGTCTTAAAACATCACCTTTTTGTTGTGGTTTAGGCATGTCCACTATGGCCTTAATATATGACTCACAAGGCTCTATTCCATTTTTAGAAAACAATTGACCCATAAACTTAACCTGTCTCAATTTAAACTGAATTTTTTGTTTGTTAAATTTAATATTAAATTTATTTGCATGCTTAAGAACTGTCATGTGGAAACGGTTAACAACTTGAACCAAAATGAGATAAATTTAAATTTGAAAATATTAATATTAATAAAATTATGATTTAGCAAGGTGTAAACATCCCGAAATTTATAATTTTGGGAGTGAGGATGACCAGGAACTTGTTGGATACGTTGTGGACAATGAGCACTGATGATGGCAAATAAGCCGAAAGCGCTTTGCATTAATAAAAAAGTTTTGCACGAAATACAAGTTTTTCCTTTTTGAAACTAATTTTAAGTTATCGTTATGCTCCTGCTCGGTTGACCCCGTTATAATAAAATATCGTCAAAGTATATACCAACTCCACTGATATCTCCAAACAACTCATAATTTTTCCTTTGAAATACTTCAGGGGCTGACCGAATCCCAAAGGGAAGTCTAAGAAACCTATAGCGCCCAAATGGTGTTCCGAAACTACAATACTCAGAACTTTCATCAGTTATCTTAACCTGGAAATATCCATCCTTCATGTCCAATACAGAGAAATATGATTTGTTTGATAATTGGCTGGATATTTCCTCAACAGTTGGAATAAGAAAATGCTCTCGAGCGATAGCCTCATTTAAATATTTTGGGTCCAAACATAATCTTAAATCTTTATTTGATTTTTCTACAATGACCAGTGGGTTAAGCCACTCAGTGGGCTGATCAATTTTAGCTATAATATTTGCTTTTTCCATCTGTTCTAGCTTGAGCTTTACCCTGGAATGTAGTGCTTGTGGAATACGCCTTATTGGCTGTACATGTGGAATAGACTCCTTTTTTAAAACAATATTATGGGGAGTGGGGAATTCCCCCAAACCCTCAAAAGCCATAGGGTACTTATTCACCATGTCATCAACTGTCTTGAAATTATTAACAGATATACTATCTACTTGTTTGAGCAAATAAAGATCTAAACACCCCTTGAGGCCTAACAATGGCATTTGGCCTTGATTGTCTACAATAATAAATGGGATTTTTGCTAACCTATCTTTGATTTTAAATTCCAAAGTAATCTCACCTACTGGCTTAATTTTAAAATTATTATTACCATATGCTACTAAAGTGACATTAGTTTTAGCTATTTTTTTCTTGCATTCTAGTCTACTTACATAATGTAAAGGTAAAACACTCACTTCGGCGCCCGTGTCAAGTTTAAACTCAATTGGCTCACCTTCTACATCTATTATTTTTAGCCACACTATATCACTACACTCACTTGATTTGCCCACTATTCCTACTTGTTTTGTTAGGGCATCAATAAAAAATTCCTCATCTTGCTCATCTCTATCTTCCCCAACAGCAACTTCATAGACTTTCCTCCTCGGCCCATTCTCTTGACCTTCTTTTAGGTTAGTATCTCTTGATTTGCAAACAGATGCAAAATGATTTAGTTTTTTGCATTTTTTGCATGCTTGTCCGTACGCGGGGCATTTCCCTTTTGCATGTTTTGATCCACAATAAATACAAATGTTCATGTTTAGTTGTGATTTTGCTTGTGATCTTACTGAATTGTTATTTGGCCTTCTGTAAACTTCATGGACTAATGCCTCTTGCTGCTGCAATGCTTTTGACTGCGTCTTACTAGCCTCAACAGCTCTGCAAAACTTAACAGCCTTATCTAATGTCAACTCAGATTCTCGTAAAAGCCTCTCTTGAGTTTGCTATAAATCCCCATGACAATCCTGTCACGGATCATATCATCTTGATCATTATAAGCGGTCGATTTTATAGCTTTTCTTAATTCTGTGACAAATGAATCAAAAGGTTGCTGCTCTTTTTGGATAATGCTGTTAAAAACAAACCGTTCAAAAATAATATTTTTCTTTGGTGCACAGTATGCTTCAAATTTAGCTGTAATAACTGTTAGGCTCTTTTTTTCTTCTTGTGTTAGCGCAAACGTGTTGTAAAGTTCCAGCCCTTCGTCTCCAATCATGTTTAGAAAAACAGCCACTTGTCTTTCTTCTGATTTTTTGCCCAATTCTGTGGCAGCCATGAAATACTCAAATTTCTGGACAAACAGTCTCCAATTTTCCGAAATGTTGCCATCAAAGCTCAGCGGCTGAGGTGGTCTAAACATTGACTCCATGTTTTTTATTTTTGTTCTCCAATGCAGAAATGCTCTACACACTATATTTTGCCCGCCTTACTAATCTTGCCAGTCACACCTGACACCATGTATTATTCGATAGAATAATAACACAATAAAACATTATTTAATTTTAGGTAGTGTTTATTATGGAACATTACACATGACCCGACAATCACAATATATATCATATGTCAAATCACGCCACATTAATCGGACAAGAACAATGTCGTCTGTCATACACAATGATGCCACCTCATGACCAGATCCTGAGGCGCCCTCTATTGGCAGACATCAGACTATACAAAACAACTACATTCTATTACAATCACATACTTTGATTTTCTTTTACTATACGGAGAATGGTCGCACTGCGCAGCTTTCTGAGTGCCTTTTAAAAGGAGATAGAAAACTCCGCCATTTTGAACCCTTATTACGTGTTGCCTACATCTTGGCGCAATATTTTTAATAGGTGCGTTTTAATCATCCGCTTCTGCTTCGGAATTGTCGGTTTTCTTGTTTTAATCTGACAGGTTAAAACGACTAAACCGACAATTCCAGAAGCAGAAGCGGATGATTAAAACGCACCTGATATTTTGCTTGCTGCTGTCAGTGTCAGTGAATATTATTTTTGAAGTCACAGTTTATTGCTAAAGAATCAGTTAGCTCACTCGGAACAGTTGAAAGTTCCAAAATAACATCCACTCCAGGGATACAAATTCAGGATACGCAGAAGACTGCTGTTTTATTATAGGCGGTTGTCATATATTGTATTATCCGAGTTGCACAGTGTATAAACTGAAACATTGAGATCAAAAATGCCGACGCAGAGTGAGCGATCTGATTCTTTAGCTGTAAACTGTGTCACAGGGTTCAAAATGGCCGCGTCCTATGTTGGGCGTGTCGGACCTCTCTCTTGCCTCGTATAGTAATCAAAGTATGTGATTACAATACACAGGGTTTGACAGTTTTGCCGCGAAGCTAACCGAAGTGAACATCAAACATTGGCGTAGAAAATTATTTTATAGATACTTACTAATAACAATTTCACGTAAACGGTTTAATAAACTTGACATTTTATAGAATTATGATTTGGGATGTTATTATTTGTTTAAATAATTATTTCTAGCCCATAAATAGATACGATTTTTTGATTCTACCGGTAATAATTTAAAAATATAAATTAAGGTGCAAGAAAAAAAACTTTAGAAAAGGAGACTTCCTTTTGTAAAGTACCAATATAATTTAAAATATTCGGTATTATTTTTCTTCTATGATACGACATTGATGAATAATAAACATTACCGCGAAATTTTTGAAGTCGTCCGACGAAATTTGACGTTTACCATCTCTCTACCTACCAAAAGCCTTTCCAACTTCTGTCCCTGCTATACTTTCTTTTCTGTGTTGTTTATCTATTCTACGGCTAGACGAGCGCTGCAAACTAGGTAATATGTATATCTCACCTGGCAGTCTTAGTATCCTCTTTATTTCTAACAAGTCGACGTTTTGGCATTCTCTCGTCGTCATCAGGTTTGGTGGAATTCGTGCTTCGTTTTTCAAGCACTTTGGACGAGGAAGAATTCAGGCTGTTGTTCATCAACATGGCGGCGCTTACGGAAGATCTCCGAGCAGGAAAACTCGCAGAAAAGCTCCGGATGGCATGTATGCTGGATTGTTGAAACGATACTGAAAAACTCCTAACGATGAGTGATTTATTCGAAAAAAGAGGGAAAGGGGGAAAGATGAAGGTTGGAGATGGCATTTCGTGATGTACGATTGTCAATCTTCCGGGCAATAAAGCTATAAATCGACGTTATTGATGTATTACGGTTTTTTTGTAGTCAGTCACGAAATCTAGATTGGCTATTTTTTCCGCTAATCGACTTAGGCATGTTCGAGTTGTATATGTATTGGTTTTTACAGGGCGATCTATTATATAAGTAAATATTATTTATCCTAAATCTCAACAATACAGGGTGAGATCATATATCATGACCGCCGAATACAGAGATACGAGTCATGTCCATAATAACTAAGCAGGGCTCTGAATTAAATCAAAACTGACACTTTAAAAATAAGAATTATATGCTGCGATATGCGTGAATTTTGTTAATGCCTACTTTAAAAACTTTGTGGATTCACTCCATATTCTTTTCGATACAAATTTATGTATATTATTTTAGAAAAGTATAATGGTTTTTAAAAATGAAACCATACTTTTTTTCTCTAAGATAGAATTGAGGGTAATACGGTAATCCTTGGTAATAACATAACCATACCAAAATCTGATCCCGAATGTTGTTTGTTGAGACAAATCCAGACATGGGTCTTGTTAGCAGCTCAATTTATTTTTTTTATTTCTTAAATTCCGTCTTCGAACATGTAATTCCGTATTCAAACAAGGAATTACGTAATCAAACATGGGATTCCGTATTCAAACAAAGAATTCGGTATTCACACATGAAATTTCCTGTTCGAACACGGAATTCCATATTCAAACACGGAAATCTAATTCCGTGATCAAAAACAAAAAATCCGTATTCATACACGGAATACCGTAAAATGGGGTGAAATGAAACATTGTGGTGACTTGAAACAAATTGCAGCGCTATCTTTTATTCGGTAGCAAAAATATTAATAGTTATGAGAATCGATAATATATTGTATAATTGCTTTCTGTAGACTACGTACTTCACATAATTCATGTTTTAAAGCGCAGAAGTTTGTTTCTTGACCACAGTGTATCCACTCTTACCGTCAAGGTCAATGCGTGTTAAGTTTCATACCCCCGCCGTCGTGAGGTCGCCACCGTCACCGTTAATAGGACACGCTTGTGCAGCGTTGCCAATAGCAATAATTTTACCCGATTTTTGGTTATTCTTAATTAACTAATGAACTTTTATGAATTGATTTAAAATTTATTAATGCAAGATTATAGCGTTTTTGCCGTTTTTCATTTAGTAGTATGTACTATTGCTGAAAAGTCATGTTTTAAAATATTTTCATCGTCACTATTGCATTTATTGGTGACTGCAGACGTTTGGGGTAAGTGATGAGAATTATCACCATTTGACCGTGACAACACTGCCTACTTTGTGTACTTGATACCTACATAACCACAAATATTTCTTATTTCTTTATTATTTTTATGAATTTTGTGAGTGATTTGTTTGTTTTTGAACTGATTGTAAAATAATAAAATGGAAATAAAACAGAAAGTCAATAGTGAAATGGAAATAAAGCACAAAATTAATACCACAGCATAAAGTTTATTTAATAGGCAGTATCTCGATTAGTTTCGGCCACGGCGCACTATAAAGGTGTTTCAACTCCCTGAAAAAAACATACCAAAACCGGTCGTACTTAGGGCAAAAATCCGCTAGGTTCGCTAGTGTCGTTACGGCGGAAAATTGCGGCAATCTTTCTATCTGTCAGAAAAAGTGCAATCATAAAAATAGTTCTTCTATGGTGAAAATTCGAGTTTATATGAAATGAAAAATGACAAAACTATCAGAAGAAGTACAGATGAAAAAATTAATGGTCAACAAATAAGTTTATTGTTATTGATGGTTGCTTATAAGTGTTTTTTTTTTAAACAAGCTGCACTGATGTGTGAGTTTATATGATCAAAAAAGTGTTCAAGATTTAATAAATATGCTCCAATTAAGTTACAAGTTGCTGCCAGAGACTTGCTACTAAATAAGTGAAATAGGGGTGTTTATAAAAAACAGCTGATTTTGTTTTGTGTTCAAATATTACCTTTGGCTTTGGCAAAAACAGCAATACAGTGGGTTACTGATTATAAAATGAAGAAGTGGACCTTAACTATGGTACTCAGATTGAAGCTTATTATTTTTAAAGTGAGTTTTGTGATTTTCATTGCCCAGATTAAAGATATTCAATAAACATTTAGTTTTATACCTACTATAATCAAATCCATACATAGTGATTGGAATTACAAACATTTCTGTGAAATAGCATTATACCAGAATAATGAAGTCTCACTGGACTGGAGTATATATGTTTCCAAAGATCAGTAAGTACCTATATCAATTATTATTATTTTTATTAATAAGCATCAGTAATAAATACATCTCAAAGAATAACAAGGTTGTAACTGTACTTTTTGGAAAAAATGAGATTGGTAGAATATATTAATTAATTTGTTTTTGTGACCAATATGTTCATCTGTTAATTATCAATGTTGTGTTATCGAAGCACTAAAGTTATTCACATGGTTCTATCTGCAGGTACATAGAACTTATACAGTTTTTAGCAAGTGTCATTATAGTAGTTATATCTTTGTTATTCCCTAATCCCTAGCAAATGTAGTCTCCATCCTCCACAATTATATTAAGATTAAAGGCCAGGTTTTTACCTCTGAATAAAGTTGAAAGTAACTACTTGCTGATTAGGCTATAGATTATACTTATGCGTAACTTTACTCAGAGGTTAAAAAATCTGCCATTAAAAGAACAGTGAGTTTTAGAGCATAAACAGTATTAAATATAATGGGTATTTTTTTATTAAACTTTTTGTTTTTAAACAGTTTTGATTGAAAATTATAAAAAAAATGATAGAGGATACCTAGAAAGATTTATAATATAAAACAACATTTAAAAATTCTGAATTAACAAAAGTATGTATTTTTTGTTCCAAGCTTTGTCTCTGTTACCTAAACTAAATACTAGAAACACAGTTTTAACTGGCAGTTACTACTATGCTTTATCAAATATTCTAAAAAATGTAGGTCGCTTAGTTCTTTCTGCATTTTTTATCACTTAAGATTTTCTCTTAAATTAGAGTTAGAAACACAATGAAAATCAAACAAGTTAATGGCTATACAAACTTCAACTCCAAAAAATAACTACCTGTCTAGATACAATCTTGTTATCCTAATATGACAGATGTAGAAGATTTATACAAATGTGAAAAACATTTTTCGTTCTGCAATGCTAGATGAAATCTTTAATTAGGCATCAAATTTGTAAAATGTTAGAGATAGTATGTAGGTATATAGGGAAAATAAAAAATATAATTATAATGAAGAGTAAGAACTTTTAAATTTTAATATAACTAGAACAAAATATTCAGTAATTAAAAATTTTGATAGGAATTAAAAATTTGCTCGAGTATAAATGTTGTGCTTGTTTTTAAGTGGTTTCGATTTACTTTAGGTTTGTTCCAACAATGCTCAGAAATGAGTTACTGACATCAGGATTCTGCACAGTAGTTTATTGAGACTGCAAAATTGTGTACTACCCAGTGGTTCGTTTCTGATCATTGGAACAGACCTTTTATTCAATAAATAATCGAACAAGTTAAATGTGTATTTGGATTTTTTTTAATTTTACAAATCTGGAGCTTGAATATGGATTTTCAAATGATGCACTTTTTGTAGTTTTTAATAATGCTTATTTTTTTTTAGTTTCTTGTTCATTTAATAAAGATGCTTTTTTGTATATGGGGTGATAATTTTTAAGCAGAGGCGTGCAGCACCCACAAGATCACTGCCAGAATTAATTCAAATGGGTAATCTAAAAATATGGAGTAGGTTCCCTGCACAAGATTTTCAAGAACTTGTAAATACAATGTTTTAATGAATTATTGCCGTTATCAAAGTTAAAGGTGATGAAACACTCATGAAAATTTGTAAATATTTAACCCTTTCAGTGTATTTGTCCCTCCAGAGGGACACTGTCTTAATTAACCCTGTTAATTTTGGTAGAATGTTTTTCTTTTTGGTTTATTTACTTTATTTGCATTACTTTCAAGGATTAATATTTAAAAAAAATTATTTTCATAGTAAATTTTTGTTTTTGTAATGTCCCTGAACAGGGACGTTATGTCTTGGAGTAATAAAAAATACTATGAAAATATTTTAATTTACTTAAAATAAACAAAGAAAACATACAATCTACTACAATGGTATTTTTTTTAATGAAAGTGGAAGTGAAAGGGTTAAAAAAAAAAGAATTTATCAGATTTATGTATGATTTGTTCTTGTAGTGACAGTCACTATAAATATGAGAAGTGTGCTAATTGAAACGGGACAGGGCTCATATAGTTTTATTTAAAAAGTAAACCTTGTCATTAATTAAATATAAATGATTATTATATTATTGAAATATATAATGTAAAACAAATTGTTGTAATGTTTTTCTGAAATCAGAAGTGTTGTCAGGTTTGTTACTGTCTGCTGCTAACTGTGACGTGTACAAGCGAACATAATAAACCTACTTATTGAGTACATTAATATAAAAAACTCATAATAAATCTGGAAACTATACATTTGAAATTTTCCTACTTATTTTTTCATTACTGCTATTATCCAATAGAACAATTCCTATGCTTTTATTTAATATTTCATTTTCCACAAATAAATATAAAAAAATAATTAGTAAAATTATAAAATGAGTTCCAATTAAATAATGAACTATATTATTAATTGAAATTGTTAATATAAGAAATGAATAAATTAAGAAAATAAGTGTAATAATGGGAAATGTGTAAATTGTATTTATTTCTAATTTTAAATAATTTTGTGTGTATTGTTAATTTTCTTATTAGTGTAAAATTAATAAATTAATAATTTTAACAAAAATTTAATGAATGTTTTATTTGTGTTAGAATCCGAATACAATAAGAATGCTGCTGTCATAATGATTACTCTGAATTTCAAATACATAGTATCTATAACTTATCAATAAATAAATATTAAGTTGTTAGGTATAAAAAAATATTTCCTATATTCCTAAAAGA